GGCCAGGGCTCGAACCCTCAACCTCCCGCACAACAGTCCAGCACTCTATCCATTGAGCTAACCAGGAAATGATGTTTTCTTAGAAATCAACTTAACGGAACGTGTTACATTTGTACTATATTCCTTGATTGAAAATGCTAATTACGCTTATGAGGCAATGGCAATGATGGGATCAGCCACAAATGTAAAATACACAGACTTGTCTAACATGACTGATGAGATCTGTCAAAGGTACTTTGTAATTCTTTCAACCACCAAGTCAGTGTTTGGTGCATAAACAGTGTAGGGACATAGACAATAAAAAGTGATTAATATTAAATTGGACAATATCTAACCTGTTTAGAACTAAGCACTTTATTGAAGAATGATTTGTGAACTTATTCACAAACTGATGCATACAGTACTTTCGTGTCTTTTTTGTCTGCTCTAAATATATATATAAATATGCACAGCTTCATGATATGAGTTATATAGCTGGGTAAAGATTTGAACCATATAGCTTAAAGTTTGTTTGTATGGAATGTGTACTTACAAGACTGAATCACTTGCTTAATATGCAAGTTTTGAAAGTTTCTTCTGAATGCTTGATGTTTATGTCACAAAATACTAAGCAATGCATGTGTTGTAGTTCAATTTTATCCTTGGTTCAAATTTTATTTTCCTTTGTTCTCGGTCAAGTTAATGTATGATAATGAGTTTGAAACAAAGGAAAATAAAATTTGAACCAATGATAAAATTGAACTACAACATACATGCATACAAACAGGGTAAAACATCTGTGAGGGCACACACATGTGTCATGCGGTGTCGGGACAAATTGTGGTCCGAATAATTACCTGGTCTCTTTGTAATAATAACCAGCTCAAAGTTAATCAAGTTGATATGTTTCTTTGCAGACACAGTAAGGGCTTCCATCTTCCAATTTTGGATTCTCTTAAATCAAGCTTCAGGTAGGTGACTCAGATACACATTTTGTACCTTATTATAGGAATATAACGAAGCATGTTAATAACGCGAAGAAAATTTACGCGTCATAAAATTAACACGAATTTTCCAAAAGTTATGTTTACATACATTTAATTAACGCGCATTTCTGTGCGGTATGTTGCATAATTAAGACGTGAATTTAATATTTTTTGCACTCATTTCGTTAGAAAACAACAACGGCCAACAACAAAATTTGCTCTCTATTTCCGGTAAAAAACATAAGAAATGAAATGAGATGACAAAAATGCGATAGACATTTTGCGCAAGAAAGTTGAAGAAGTGAGTTATCCCCTCAGAGAAGACGATCGCTACACTGATGAATCTAAGGACATTTTGAACTTAATATTAAAGGATGATGCGTCAACCGACTCTGACGGTGACGTAGAGGAATTGTGGCTTTGCTTATAATAAAGGTGTCTTTAAATAACGATGCTTTTAATTAACGTCATTTTAATTAACAATGAGGTAATTTAAGATACATAAAATTAACGCGAATTTTTGAAATTCGCGTTAATTACATGCATTGTTAATTTCCTATAATAAGGTATTAAGGCTATCGGAGACCCTTGAACTTAAATACTTTAAGACCCAGCTTTTAACAAAAACTGTAGCTTTACAAACTCTTTCTGATGCAAGAAACCAAAAAAGGAGCTTAACATCAATGTTAATGAGATTGCACTGTTAATGAAGAGATTTTGAGGTCATATTCTAAACAATCCATCAAACATTAACTTATGAATGTATTACTTACAGGTGAGTCAACTCGGAGTTGTTATTGAAGACTCCAGGTGGTAGCTCCTTGATTTTATTTCCATTAAAGTACCTAAGGAATGGAAATAACTAAGTTTAAGATATATGCGTTATTAACCAAGCGTGAGGTCAAGAGGGCTGGATATTGGCCGAATTCTGTTTTTGCATTTTTATTGACCGAGATTTTAAAGAAGTGCCCAGGCGTTAATTCGAGGAAGTACGTTAAACAGAACTAGTTGATTTGGTTTAACAGAAGCCATGCAACTTTTCAAGATATAATTCCCTGATAGGATTATTACATTTACAGATAATTCAAGATTTTTGCAACGCAGTTTGACGCATTTACGCATAAGTAATTATGCTGGAATCATACTCGATCTTCTGGCAACAGCATTATACACAAACTTATGCTGGTATAATTCATCCGAGCCTATCAGTGACCGTCAAATAGCTTCAATTAAGGTCTTTCAGATCTCACTATTTTTACTGCTCATCGGTTCTGGATCTCGAAGACTCTTTGGATCTACGGACTNATTTCGTTAGAAAACAACAACGGCCAACAACAAAATTTGCTCTCTATTTCCGGTAAAAAACATAAGAAATGAAATGAGATGACAAAAATGCGATAGACATTTTGCGCAAGAAAGTTGAAGAAGTGAGTTATCCCCTCAGAGAAGACGATCGCTACACTGATGAATCTAAGGACATTTTGAACTTAATAGTAAAGGATGATGCGTCAACCGACTCTGACGGTGACGTAGAGGAATTGTGGCTTTGCTTATAATAAAGGTGTCTTTAAATAACGATGCTTTTAATTAACGTCATTTTAATTAACAATGAGGTAATTTAAGATACATAAAATTAACGCGAATTTTTGAAATTCGCGTTAATTACATGCATTGTTAATTTCCTATAATAAGGTAGTTTATTTTCACTCCAGCAGACTTAAGACTCTGATAGTGGGTAAATTGTGTGATGTTGCTAATATAAGAAACACACCAGGGACATTGTGGACTATTCTTTTAGCAAGGAAGCGACGTTGATCACCGCAAAAAAAGATGATTTTTTATACTTTTAAGCATTGTATTTTCTGGTATTATATTATTATTTCAATTAGGCTCTTGTAAATCTCAGTTTTTTTGCGTGTATTTATATTGTTTTTCTCCCTGTACATAGCTTTTATTCTTTTGTTAATATCTTTTGTGTTAGTCAAATTTTGATTGTGTATAGTAGGCCCACATCAGCCCTTCGGCTGCCAAACAATCCCAACCTACCCATCAAATAAAGTTTACCTTACCTAACCTTACCTTACCTTACCTAACAATTATTATTCCCCAAAGGCGAAGTAATTATTGTTGAATAATCCCCAAGAGATATGATGCAATCCTCATCAAATCGCGCTGCATGCATCTCTGTAATCACTGGTCAGAGCAATTACTCTAGCATGATAAGTATTATTAAAAAATGTAAATCATTGCTATCAAAAAAAAAAAAAAGTTACTTGATGTAACAGAACAAGTGTCTGTATCCATACATTGACCATGTCGTGACTGGGTCAACTGCATTTTTGTGATAGTACCATTTGCCATAATTGTACTTGCCAGTATGGCTTTTATATCAGATTTCATGCCATTCCACATTCACCAGGTATATAAAATGAAGTTTCGCTCCGACGAAGGGCTAACGCTCAAAACGTCAGCTTTTGTAATCGTTACGGTGGCCAATTTACCATTTCAACTTTGTTGATATATCCAAAATATAAAATGAAGGTTCTTAAGCTTGGCTTGCTTGACTTGAAGCAATGCTGTCAAGCATTAAATGAGGTGACCACACCATCAGGGCCAACCTGCGGACTTCCTGGCTCGTGTCTTTCTCAGGAAACCCTCATAGCATTTAAATCATGTTTACTATTATTTGCACCTCACATTTGTCCATTCCCAACTTTAAACATTAATCAATTAACAAGTCAAACTTTGAAAGCTCAGCAAGATTTTGTATTTCCTCACCTAGTTATGAAGTGGAAATTTTATCCAATTTGTTAAAAGCTCAGTGGGACATGGCAGACTGGACATGTCTCCCATCCCTTCTTCACCTTCATGAAAGCTATGTCAAATTGTCCTCTTGGTGTCAGTTTCTCCCACCAGGGGAGGTTAGTGTTTTTAAAACTTGTTACGTCTCTTTAAATCTTTAACTCCCAAGATCTGATTTTTAATTCTCCCCTCCAGCTGTCCTCTT